AAATCAACAAGAGAAAGAAGGACGACAAAACCAAGACAAAAAAGAAATAAAACAAATAATGGTAACTAATACAAAAAACAAATTAGAATATATCCCAAAAGAAAAGTAAAAGAAAAAAAAACAACTAAGAATGTCATGCAAACAATAAAAAAGAACAACTACATAAAACAATAGAGCCAAAAAAAAGTCACATAAACAATAAAATGTAAAAATATCTACATCGACAAGAAAAAAATGAAATAAGAAAAAAATGAACCATCACAAACAACGTCAAACAATCAAAGAAAGCCAGACTTACTCTGCACGAACACTCGCATGCTTTGTGTTCATCGACCCAGATTTTTCTCGAAGGAACCTCACTGCCCATCGCAATGACCTGAAGAACGAGAAAGTAAAAATAAGAAAAAATCTTATTTTATTTTATTTATTTACCTGAAGAACGAGAAATGAAAGATAAAAAAAAGTTTATTCTATTTTATCTATTTATTTATTTATTCATTTATTTATCTTCTCTTATGTAGGTGATTTTGAGTAGGAATTTTTGGATCAGTCTGCGATGTTCGTTTTATATGGAAGGGTTCTGAGAGTGAAAGAATTGGTGGGGTTGTTTGTGGGTGCGGATATTTTCCTTTTTTCTTCACTGTGCCAAAGGGTTTTGTCCGTCTTTCTGTATCTCTTTTTGTTTGTCTGCTTATGTCTGTCTGTCTATCAATCTCTCTCTTTCTTCTCTCCCTGACACAGTTACACACACACTCTTTTTTCTTCTCTCACTTACTCATTCTCTCTCTCTCTTTCTTCCCTCCCTAACTTACTTACTCTCTCTCTCTCTCTCTCACTTACTCACTCTCTCTCTTCTCTCACTTACTCACACACTCTCTCCCTCTGTCTTTCTTCTCTCACTTACTCACTCTCCTTCTCTTTCTTCTCTCACTTTCTCTCTCTCTTCTCTCACTCACTCACTCTCTTTCCTTTTCTTCTCTCACTTGCCCACTTTCTCTCTCTTTCTCTCTCTCTCTTTCCTCACTCCCTCACTTTCTCTCTCTCTTCTCTCACTTACTCACACTCTCTCTCACCCTTTCTCTCTTTAATTTCCTCGAACATGCACGTTTCTTTTTTTCTTTTCTCGATGAATAAAGGAAATACACCAAATAATCATCGGCCAAACAAAACGATAAACAGAACACAACTTCCAAACCAAAATCACCTTCGCCAAAACCGTTGTCGTGGCTTATGCAAAATCCTTCTCCAATGACGCTGATGCTGATTATAAAAATGATAATGATGACGATGATAGATAGAAATAATGATGATGGTGGTAATAATGAAAAAAAGTGATTATGATGATGTTGATGGTGGTGGTGATAATGATAATATTTTTGATGAGAAGAATAACAATGAGATAGTGATAATGTAATGATGATGGTGGTGATAATAAGAATAAGAATGATAATGATGATAGCTGTGATAATAAGAATAAGAATGATACTGATGATGATGACGATAATAAAGCTAATAATAATGACATAACGATGACTGAAAACAAATAATGCCAATAAAGACGATAGTGATAACAGAATAAAAATGGTAATGGCGACGATGGTGACAATAAGAACAATACCAAACCGCAACCACCTTAAACTTCTTCTCAGTGACTTTCGTCGGACGGCACTCGAACAGCGGGGAGTCGCAGCAGCCCGAGCACCTCCTGACGGCGACGCAGGAGGGCTTCAGCTGCACATTCAAGTCGCCTCCCGTCGGTAGTTCCACCATCGTCTTTATGGGTTTGCAGCACATTTTGGTGATCAGTTTGCCGATTTTCTTCCACTCTTTGGGGGTCACTGGGGAGGGGAGTTTTCCGGACGAGAGAATGTAGTGTATTGGACATTATCATTAAATACTTTTTATTACTACTGATAATTGTGGTATGGATATTATCCGTGAAGCTGATCATATGGAATAACAGCTGTGCTTGTAAAAAGTGATATCATTGCTATATTTTACTGACATTATTATGACGAAGGAAATCATTATCCTGACAAATTATGGTTATATATAATCATCACAATACCAATGATAATAAATAGCAGTAGTTAAGGTAATTGAAGTCATTCAAATAACAGAAAAAAGTAATAACAGCAGTAGCGTTAATAGTCTTAGTAATATCGCAAGCATTGTTGCCAAACTTGATTATATTCTCTTTCAAAAATCCTTACATCCAAAGAACTGCTTGCCGCCGCCCATGTTGGCATCGCGGCGCTCCCTGGCCCGCGAGGCGTGAGTGAAGTCCGGAAACCCGAGGAGAGAGAAGTCTGTCTTGGAGCCGCACTGTCTGCTCCACCACTGATACCCGGCCAGGTCGGTGCTATCCTGGAAGGACGAGGGTCGTTGCGGTATCGCAAATTCTTGTCTGGTGAGGTTGTTGGTATGATAATGGTAAGGATAATAGTAGTAGCAGCAGCGGCGTAATACTAATACCATTGCTCTACTACTAATAATAATGATTCTTAAACAATAACAATGATAATAATAATAATGATAATAACCGTAATGATAATAATCAAAATGATAATAATAATGATAATGATAATGATAATAAACGACAATAAAGTAACAGTAACAACAATAATAATAATGATCATATGTTAATGACATTAAAACAATAGTAATAATGACTGGCTGGCAATCTTAACGCTAGAAATCACGAGAATTTCACGAGTCAGATTATGAAAAAGATATAAATCGAATGCAGATGTGAAAAAGATTATAATGCACACGTTATCAATTACATAAACGTATCAGTAAATTACAGAAAGCAGTAGACAAGGAGCGCACAGGACTTAGCCAGAGAGGTAATCATGTAATTAAGTCCGATTATAATGATTTATTAATAAAAAGAGAACTAGAAGAGATTAGAAGACGAGATAAAATAATACCGAAGAAAAAATAAAGGTAACTATATTTATTATAAGAATGACACAGAGTTAGAATGAAGAAATCGACTGGGGAACACAACTGAACAGATACGTATCACAGATCTGCTGAAGCTTCGACCCAATTATTTGCAGAAATTAGTGACGGAAAGGTGAAGAAAAGAAAACAGTAAACAATATGCGATTAATAACCCAAGAAAAAGTAGACGATATTTGAATTCAAGCCTCGCCATCTAGTCTTTAAACAGTTATATCAGACAGAAAACATATGGCAGAGATATTATTTTACGACTTGTATCAGTACAACATCAGCGTTGTTGTACTGATACAACATTCAATAATAGTAGAGATATTTAGGCCAAAAGCCATAAGGAAGAATTGAAGGACTGAATTAAATCCAAAAGTACTGATCATTCTTGATAAAAATATGAATAAAAATAAAAAATGAAGAATGAGAATGAATATACCTTTCAAAGCAAAAGCATTATAATTGTAACAGAAGAGTATAACAAAGTATATTCATATCATATATACATTAAATAAACACATTATATACATTAGAGTATATACACATTATAATTATATACACATAGAGTATATATATGGATTGAAGGAGACGTATAGGAAGTAATGTTTAAAGATATTTTGATTATTAATCCTAAAATGCTTCACTGCCGTCACGTGGCCCGAAATACGTAACGTGAAGGCTCGCCCGGTTTTGTAACACACGGTGGCAAGTACGTACGCCTCCCCTGTGCAATGTTGTTTTCTCTTTTTCTGCATAAGCGTTTATAGCTTTTTGGCCATTTTGCAATGTCCATATTTGTCATTTGATTTGCTTAAATAATAGAACGTTTTCCTTGCACATGCTCTATACCATCTCTCTAAATAGTCCATAGCTCAGTGCAAGAATGATAACTATAAGTAAGATTTATCCTTTTTTTTTTTTTTTTTTTACTTTTCGTAATACAGGATCCTGAGGGAAATAGCGTCTCTCTAGGCCTGCGCTTTTTCTCAGCGTGGCTTCACGAAAGTACATTTTCTGTTTTTCCGATGGGAAAAAAGTAAAAATTCCTTTCCAAACGCCAAAATCACTCCCAAATTGTGTCCTACTAAAAAGCGCCCGCTCTTTCTTCTGCCCGAAATTACGGCACAACAAGTTTTCCCATGTCTCTTTATCTCAAGTATATTTTCTTCAAACTGGTTTGCGTAATCCGAATCAATTTTTTTTTTAGATAATTCTATGGGACCTTGCTCACGGCAAGCACAAATTGGAGACGGGATGCCACCTTGTAAGAATTCATATATATGTTTACAAAGATGCTCATCATGGAGTTTTTTTCATTTTCCATTTTCCCATATTCCATATCTAACTGGACAAACTTCTCCTAATTAGTAACAGTAATTTACTCAACCTAAAGGTTGAGTAAAATACTAGTGTAGATGACCGCACCAGGTCAGGTGGGTCGCTTGCAGTCTTGTAAAACTAGTTTGTCAATGTGTTGTAGGAATAATAATTATTCTTGCTAATATTTTTGCAGAAGCATCGATAAAATGTTCTATAAGAAATATGTACCGTCACCTCTACAAGTCATACGCTGTGAAGAGTAAAATGAAATATAAAGGGAAACATGACAGCGTAAGAATGTACACATTTGAACGAGAAAAATAAAAAATATAACGTTCAAAATTAGCGTGCATAAAAAGAAGAAAATAATATTGCAGGACTTAACGTCTAATAAAATCGTTTGACTGGCACGAGAAGGCCAGGCGGTAAAATCAAAATAAAATCAGAAATAAATACGAAGACCAAAGGAGAGAAATGCCCACAGCGTGAAGATTATCCCAGAAAGCAATAGAGGCAATTGGAAAAAAAACTTGGATAAAGATCAGTATAACATCTACAACAGAACAGATCCAGAGGAAACTGTTCCTCCGCAAAAAATCCAGACTTGAACATTTTAGAACTTAAAATGACCTATTACTATTGCCACACGGATAGTAATAACGACGATACTAATGATAATATACCAAGAATAACCACAATAACCTGATTTATAGATTCAGCGAGAGAAGAACAAACTAAACGTCCCAGCCAACTGTACCTCTCCGACGACCAATTCGTAGAGCGCCTTCGAGGAGCACATCACCTCGTCCAGGTGGAAATTCATGACGAACTCCCTCAGTTCTTTCTTCGCGGTCACCTCCAGCATCACCTCCAGAGGCCACTCCTGTTTGCGAGAAGTCGTAAGCAAACGCCGATTTATTAACAAATAACATAATCGCTATAGACATACCGGAATCATTTATATTCAAAACCTTATACCAGAATCATTTATATTCAAAACCTTATACCAGGATAATTTATATTCAAAACCTTATACCAGAATCATTAATATTCAAAACTTCGATAGAAGAAAAGAGAAAAGCTTACTTGTGAAAGGAGAGCGAGACTGGAGTCATCGGCGACGTTGAGGGGACTGGTCTGCGTGGACGGGGCGGCAAGCAGGAAGCAGGACACCACGACCAAGCGCCATCTATTGGGATATTTCTAATCATTGGTCTGTGGCATATTAATACACCACGATTAAGCGACATCTGTTGGAATGTTTCTAACTGATGTCCCGTGACAAATTATCTTCTGGGTATGATAGCTTGATTATTAATCAAAACAATTAGTTGGCCTTCAAGTCACCACAGATATCGTGTGGCTAGTCATAGGGAGGAATACAAAGAGTCAATACAATTTTCTACATGTTATTTTTTACAGTCTTTGTTGTTAACATTAGTCCGTTATTTTCAATACGTGTTTTATGCAATTAGTCTATGTAAAGCCAGAGGATACTGGCATTTGGAAACCAGTTATATCTTTTCCATATGTTTCTTCTTATTATTTTTTCATTAATCAGTATGTCTCATTCCTTATGATGAAAGCTGATATGTGAGAATATATATATATATATATATATATATATATATATATATATTATATATATTATATATATATATATATATATATATATATATATTATATATATACATGAAGAACTTTCCATGTTATCGAGAAACTAGGCTATATAAAATATCTAACAAGAACTGGTCATTACTCAAAGGAGATGACATAATTCAATGATTTTTTTTCGTTTGATCGCCAAGAAGGTTACGCGAAAAGTTACTGGCGGTCTGCGATTCGCGGTGGTTTGCTCATTAGCCAGGGAGCAGCTGATTAGACCTTTGAGGTGATGGATTTCAACATGCAGATCTAGGGTGAAATTCGTGGAATCTTTAAAAGGGCGAAGACTCGTGTAAAGTGTTCTTGGCAAAATATTCTCTTGTAAAAATCCGTGGCAGATGGATGTATTTTGAAGCTGACCCGACATTCATAAATTGCATTCTCTCTGTCTGTTTAATATATATAATATATATATATATATATATATATATATATATATATATATATATATATTGATTCTCTGCTGTGTCTGTGTAGAATCTTGCTCACTAGTACTTCTTAGTCCATTTCTAAATTCTACCATCAGCCTTTTTCCTTTATCGTGAATCAATTTGATTTCATCTTTCCCACACGAACACGAACATTGGTGCTTACACTTTATCTGCACATGCATACATTTCAGTTTGCTAATTTTTTTTTTTTTTTTATTGTTTTCAGAGACGCGTGGACTCGCTGACCTCCAATGCCCTGACCTAGTCCGTTACAATCTAATTCCTGCACAACTGTTATATGATTGCATATTGCAGATCAATGGCAATGCAGGAGTTATGGTAAATTATATACAAGTTTAAGGTTCATATAGCATGTAGTTTCTACTTAATTGATACAAATGTCGGTAAAACAGTGTTTAGATTTGAAATGTAGGACTGGTGGAAGATACAATGAATTATTCTTGTGTTTTTAATGTGCTGCATGTTATTCTGACCCCATGACTGTGATGCCATTTCCCTCTATCTCGATTTCTTCACCTCGGCTCACCTAATCATATCCATGTTGAACACAAACAGTTTCTCAAAGCAAACGGCAAAGTTCAGCTAGATTTTTGTAAGTTCCACTATAATTCAAACACATTTAATCAGTTATTTCCCTTTTTCTTCTTTCTTTCTTAATCTTTCTTTCCTTCAGCACACGTAAACCTCTCCGGGACACTTGGCGTAACGAGTTCCCACCGCCTCCAGCCAGGGGAGTCGAGTAGTGTCTCTGCTTTCAGTGACGAAACCTTTAAGCGCCACAACGGTCTCAGAGTTGTCCGAATTTCCCCTTCCAGTGCGAATTTCGTGTTTGAGGAAACGCCGAGAATCGTATTTTACGTGATGCGGATGGCTCTCGTAAGATTTTCATCAATTTAATCAGCTAGTGAATGTAGATTATCAGCGGGAATAAATGTGAAATCTGTTTTGTTTTTTTCCTTGTGCAATAAGCTGAGCCATTTTGTCACATCCGGACAGACCCGCTATGTAAACTTTCTAACTCGAGCGCATCCCCGCACAACGTGACTGTATCTTGGACGCGCAATTGGATTTTGTTATCAAATGGCAAAGCATGCATTTAGTGACATTTTACTTCAATTCAAAAATGCAAGTTAACTAAAATCATATCTCAGTAGTTACTTAATGACGAAAACACCAGGCGTACAAAACGTATTCGCCATAACGCATGCTCAGAGCCACTTCCGAAAACTAGACGAAATGGATTAAAACCTTGAAAACTCATTTATCGTGTAGTTAATTCGTCTCTCATTTCAAACACAAAGTAGCAAAAATAAATAGCTGATACACTGATACGCGATTAAAAATTAAATACCTACAACAAAGGTTAATCTCGATAGGTTCCATATAAATTGGCAACAAGGTTTCAGTCAGCAGGTTTTAAAAGCGTTTCGACCAATGGCAGTTCTGTGAAAATGACGTCAGCGATTCGATAACCAGTCAAACTATAGTGCTTGCATCAGTTGCAAAGACGAAATCCATCTGAAAATCGTTAAAATGAAAACGTCAGTAGGAAAGAGTATTGGTTACATCGAAGAATATTTCATAAAGGACAAATATTAGGCTTCGTGTTTGTGTGTAGGAAGGTGTGGACAATGAGGTTTAGGAATTTCTAATGTTATTATTTCGTACTAGGCTTTGGTTGAAACGCTTTAGAAAACTTGAAGACATACCTATGTTTATATATATCTATATCCGTAACTCACTTTCACTCTTTATAAATAAATAAATAAATAAATATATATATATATATATATATATATATATATATATATATATATGTGTGTGTGTGTGTGTGTGTGTGTGTGTGTGTGTGTGTGTGTGTGTGTGTGTGTGTGTGTGTGTGTGTGTGTGTGTGTGTGCATAATTTTAGCTGAAAATCATTTAAATGAGTCTGCACAGTCCCTATAAGGAGTCGCGTTATTATAACTGCAAGTTATTGAGTATCAATACGCTGCAGATGAACAAACAGTCTTGCAAGAACTTTCTGAGGATAAAAAGAAGAGGCATCAAGTCACATCCAATGACGTCAAACCGCGACCTGCATTGTCCAGATGGCCAGGGTCTCGTCGCGGCTGCTGGGCCGTGCGAGCCGATTATTTACTATGGTTCTTGAGGTATGCTTCGCGCGGAGGGAGGGCACGTGCCCGCTCCCTGATAGCCAAGCATTGCTTGTCTGTAATTCCCACTTTTATTTTCATTCAGTTGGCATAACTATGAAGAAAATTGGCGAATAATGTGAATGGAAAGGCACGGGGAATGTATGCTAAAAACAGAGAGAAGAAAATGGTAAGAAAGATAAATATACGAAGGAAAATAATGTAATCTGTGTTCGATCCAGAGAGGTTCCCCGGTGTCGGCCATTTTGAACTCACGATTTCCGAGTATGAAAAAATAAACACAATGACAAGCAGAAATGGCCTGATGTGCTTATAAATCCGATAAAGCGAGAATTACAATGATATTTTCGATGTGGCTCAACTTTAAACTCGACCAGACTGAACTGAGTAAAATTTTTGTTTTTTGTTTATCCTTCTTTCTCTCGCTGTGAGCCCGGTGAGAATAGCCCGCAACAACAACCAAATATTCGCTCCCACTTCGGCGCAGTCTGACCGGCCTCGCCCAGACAGCTTCCCTGAACACTCAGCCCTCACAGTTTACAAGAGGGAACGAGAGACGTCTTGTCAAAACGAGCAGACGCCGCGGGTGCTGCCGGTGGCTGTGACGTCACGTGGGAATAAACACGGGCGCCTCGAGAGCCGAAGGGCGTCGCGCTCCCGCCTCCCGCGCGAAATCCTTCCTACTTCCAAGGGCCGGAGAAGGGCGCTCGGGCGGCGCTTGAGGATGGGCGGCGCGGCTTTGGGGGAGGCGTCCCCCCTCCCCAAGGGATCCTCTGACGACAGTTCGGGGAAATAATTTTAACGTTGAAAGACGAAACACACATGAATTTATATGCATAGATGGCGTGTGAGTGTGCTCATGTATGTGTATATGTATGTGCGTGTATATGTATGTACATACATATAAGTGTGTAAATATAATTATGCATACATGCATGCATATATATATATATATATATATATATATATATATATATATGAATATATATATATATGAATATATATATATATATATATAATATAATAATATATATATATATAATATATATATATTATATAATATATATAATATATATATATATATATATATTTATATATGAATATATATATGTGTATATATATATATGTATATATATATGTATATATATATATAGGTATGTATGTATGTATGACACACATACACACACACACACACACACACACATATATATATAGATATAGATATAAATGTATGCGTGTATGTGGACCCATTTCGGCTATTTATCCGTCTAATGAAGAATTCTTGGCGAGTTCGATGCATTACGATTTATTCTTATTTCTTATTGTGATTTTATATGTGTGTGTGTATGTGTGTGTGTGTATGTGTATATATATATATAGATAGATAGATAGATAGATAGATATAGCGAGAGAGAGAGACAAATAAAAAATGAAGAATGATAAGGAAATATGTATACATTGGCTTATTTCCGTTTTTTATCATTTCTAATATAAAAATTCGTTGGATTATCATAATATGTATTATTGTATTACCTTTTTTGTTAATATTCTTGTCATTTTTGCCTTTGTCAGCTCCACGAATAATTAACTATAGCCTTATATATCACTGTGTGTGTGTTGTGTCCACGTATGGGTGCAGCTCTGCCCTTCCCTCCCTGTTGTTAACACGCGAAGAAACTAACTCTGGGTTGCGAAGCTTTTCCAAGGGAACTGTGCCTATTTTCCCGGTCAACATTTCCGTGGTAATTCGTGCGTATGCGCTGAATTATCTAAGTGATTTTGGTGCGAATGAAAAGTAAAGTTTTTAAGTTATTGAAACATTAACTAGTCGAGTCATTCTGCATCCCCCCGGCTGAAAGACATGTGCCCTTCTTACACGGAATCCTAACAAACAACCACTTGCCTAATTACCTTTTGCCGTTAGTATTGGTGGAGGAGGAGGTGGTAGTTCGAGCGAGACATCACCTCTAACTCAAACGTGGAGTTTTTACGCTCGACATTGAGTTCCTTACAAAAAACAATCAAAAGTTTTGCACATAGCGATGAATTTCAAAAGTAAAGCAAGTGAAAGAAATAATACAAAGAACTTGTAGTTGAATAAACCAAACTACGTACACAAGAAGATACTGTGCAACAAGCTGACAAACTAGGTGACCAATCACTCCGTTGCAACTTGCAGATTGCGGGGCTGCCTGAACAGAAATCAGTAGACCAGGAATAGGCTCGGCACACACCAGCGAAATTCCTCCGACGGAAACTCGAAGTGAGCCCGGGAATCGAACGAGCGAGAAGCAGCAAAGCATCGGCGCCAAGAACCAGCCGCAGTCCGGTCGAGACGCCGTCCTCGCCGCTCGAAGGACGCTGAAAGGGACCGATGTGCTCCTCAGTGAAGATCTCTAGCAGATAAACGATAGAAATTCGCAAGAGCTAGATGATATAAAACATTACGCAACGAGGGAAAATTCATTTACCGCTGATATAATCAGAAAGTTAGTAGTGAAGAATTGCCCGAATCACTTTTAAAAGATGATAACTTTCAGTATTAGAAGCCTCCCATCGAAATGGAGGTGTTTGTCTCTTTGCGCTCTCGAGAAGAAAGTTGGGTTAATGTTAATAAAAATGGAGGAGGATATTTCCTATATATACTGCCTTTAGAACTAACAACATCTGACAATATTTTCATCGGAGTTATAGACAGACCGCCACATGGTAATATTTCTGATTTATTAAACTCCAAAAAGCTATTCTCTTCACCGTGCAATAAGGGAAGAACAGCGTAAATAATCGACGACCTTGATCTAAATTTTCTCAAGTCAGCAGCTGATTGAAATGTTTATTATAACATTATTACACATTCTAGCAGAGCAACTGGATCGACTGCTATATTAACGTACGCTTAACATTTTGATATATATTTTAAAACGACTAAACTACCGTAAAAGGTTTGTTCGGTCCTTCGCTAGCGTGCGTGGAACCTCACTTTTATCAACCCTGCTTCGCTGGAATAGTGTATTTCTTTTCTTGAGGCCAAAACTGCTAATATCAGTGCTTATTGACACTGATTTAGAAGGATATTCTAAACCAACAGAAAAGTTTCATTTGTACCTAAGACTATACTAGCCTCCCAACCACCTATCTCTCTCTCCTCTCCTCTCTTCTCTCTCTCTCTCTCTTCTCTCTCTCTCTCTCTCTCTCTCTCTCTCTCTCTCTCTCTCTCTCTCTCTCTCTCTCCTCACTCTCCCTCCTCCCTCACTTCACTCACTCCTCCCCCTCCCTCCCTCCCTCCTCTCCCTCTCTCTCTCTCTCTCTCTCTCTCTCTCTCTCTCTTCTCTCTCTCTCTCTTCTCTCTCTCTCTTCTCTCTCTCTCTCTCTCTCTCTCTCTCTCTCTCTCTTCTCTCTCTCCCCCCTCTCTCTCTCTCTCTCTCTCTCTCTCTCTCTTCTCTCACCTCTCTTCTCCTCTCTCTCTCCTCTCTCTCTCTCTCTCTCTCTCTCCATCTCTCTCTCTCTCTTCCTCTCTTCTCTGCCCCCCTCTCTCATCTCTCTCTGTCTGTCATCTCTATCTCTCTTAG